TGACCGTCATTGACTTCACACTGAGCCCTGTATTCTGTCCCCTCGTGGAGGTGACTGTCACTGACTGCACACTGAGCCCTGCAGTCTGTCCCCTGTGGAGGTGACCATCACTGACTGCAGTCCATCCTCTTGTGGAGATGCCCAGGGCCCGCTGCTTTGTCCACTGTGCTCAGTTGCTCCTTGTTTTCCAGGTGGTGCTGGTGAGGTGGAACGAGCCCTACCAGAAGCTGGCCACGTGTGACGCGGACGGGGGGATATTTGTGTGGATCCAGTACGAAGGCAGGTGGTCCGTGGAGCTGGTCAATGACCGCGGGGCTCAGGTGAGTGGACACTGGGCAGAAGGCCAAACCCAGGGTCCTAGAGAACTCTCCAGAACAGGAAGAGCGGGCGAGAGAAAGCCAGAGCCCCTCCACCTCCACCAGGTGAAAATAGAGGCCCCCCCTCAGCCCCCTTAGTGCTGCAGCTGCTGCAGCTGCAAGAACTCCCAGGGCTGAGCTTTAATTACATCTGCGAGGTGGTTTTACCATTCAGCGTGACACTGTGTGTGTTAAATGCCCGTCCTCTGTGGTGCCAATGGCCCCTTCTCTGCTCCTTCCGGAGGGGTTTTCCCAAGTGGAGACTTCTTTGTGGGACTCTCTGGAGGATGCTGTCCTACCTGTGCTCACTAGCAGGGTTTCCACACTCGCTCTTGTTAGGTTACGATTAACCAAGCCCCCCATGGCCCTGCTTCCTGCCGGTGAGGACCTCACACCCCTGCGGAGGCCAGGAGGCCCCTTTGTTTTGAGAGCCCTCGTGGATTTGCCTCAGCTTGTGCTTAAAAACCTCTTTAGCTTCAGGGATGGGCCGGGAGTGCCACGCGCACCCAGGACACAAATCTGAGCCCACGTCCCAGCGTCTGACAGATCTGAGATTCCAGAACCTACCTTGTAGTGTGACAGAACTGAGGTTCAAGAATTCATCCTGAGGTGTGACAAAACTGACACCCTGGAACCCGTCCTGACATGTGACAGAACTGACACTTGGGTATCTGTCCTGAACTGTGTCAGAACCGAGACTCTGGAAGCCATACTGACGTGACAGAACCAATACTCGAGAACCCGTCTTGATGTGTAACAGACAAAGACTCTGAATCTGAGAACCTGACTCCTCAGAGGAGGCCTGTCTTTTTTTTTTTAGTTTTTGTTTCTTTTTATTAATGACTTTTTAATGCAACATATATGGTTTTAACAGCATATTTTTTCCATTTAATTTTTCCCCATTCATTCATTGTTGTACATTTCCCTCCCTGCCCACCCCTACCCTCCAGTGTTTCTTTTTCTCTTTGGAAAAAATTCTTTCATTGTTATACAGTCCACCCCAAGTCTACCATCCACTTTACTATGCATTTCTTTTTCTGTAATCTTGTCAAGAAAATAATACCTAATCCTATAGTTTTTAATAACTTAGAGCCTGTCTGCTTACTTTGCCCCACAAAACTGTGTCCAATATCTGCTAGCCCTGCTGTGGTCATTGTTAGTCATTGTTATGTGCCATCGAGTTGCCTGAGACTCATAGCAACGCTATGTACAACAGCTCTGAGCTCTGCTCTTTCCTGAGACAGTCTCACTGTCTCCGACACACCTACCCCGTTACCCCAATTACAGTGTCAATCATGTCATCCAGGGTCTTCCTCTCCTGTGCTGTCCCTCCACCTTCCTAAGAAAGGAGGCCCATCTTGAACAGCTTTCTTGGACCTCTAACTCCTCAAAATGTCCCTGTGGCTCCCACATATCCCCACACTTCGATCTCTTGCTAAGTAAACCATGAGCATCCTTGGTTTTGAAAGGCCAGTAAAGTGAAAAAGAAGGCTTCAGTGGTGACTGGCATTAGTAGTGGAGTCGATTCTGCCTCACGGTAAAGATACTGTGAGCAGTCTGATGTCCAGTGTAACACGTGAGCACAGGAGACAGACGTAGCTCTGTGGAAAGGCAGACCGTTCTCTGTGTGTGAGTGAATTTGTGTAAATTTGGTAATATTGAAGGACCTCTTCAAAGTGCTCTGGTTACGAACAACTCTAGAAGCCCTACAGCATTAGAAGACTTCCAAGCATAAAGAAAAATGTACCACCAGGAGTGGAAAAATGAATGGGACCTTCTAAGAATCAGATCCCGATGCACATCAAAAATACTTCTCCAACAGGGTATAAAGGAAACTCGCAGACTGGGAAAAAAATACTTGGCAGTGACGTATCTGATAAGGGACTCATATATAATTTTTATATATGTATAATTTCAAATACTCCAGCACCTCAACAAGAAAAAAAGAAAAAAAAAAGACACCAAAAACCCAATCACAAAAAGGTTACAAGATACGAATAGACATCTCACCAAAGAAGAATTTCAGATGGCTAATAAACATATACAGAAATGTTCAAAATCTCTAGCCATCAGAGAGATGCAAATCAAAATGAAAATGAGCTCTCATCCCACCCTAACAACAATAGCAAAGTTCAGCAGTGCAGGTGAGGGTATGGAGAGATTGGCTCCTGGTGGGAATGTAAAATGGTGCAGCCAATAGAGGAGAGGATGGGCTTGTACCTTCTCAAAAAATTGGAATTGGAAGTACTATTTGACCTAGCTATCCCCACTCCTGGGAATATCCTCTAAAGAAACCAGAGCCGTGACTCACACAGGTGTGTACACAACACCCATGTTTGTTGCTGCATTGTTCGCAAAGAGATGGAAGCCACCCAAGTGCCATCAATGAGTGGTTAGAAAAACTATGGTACAGTCACACAATGGAATATTACGCAGCACTGAAAAGCAATGACCTATTAAAACACTACACAACATGGGTGAATCAGGAAGACTTTATTGTGAGTGAAAGATCTCAGTCACCAAAGGACAAATACTGTTTAACGCCACTGTTATAAATAGAATTGACCTATCTGTGAGGGGTGAGCAGGAAAAGTGTGGATGGGTAAGGAGCACTACAGTGAGTGAGATGAGAAAGGAAAGGACTGTGGAAGGAGTGTTGGAGCATCAGATCGGTAACACCAGTGAGGAACTAGAAGAGTATTACAAATTCAATTAGGGGAGGAAGGAACATGTGCATCAATGAATAAAAAAAAACCGAACTTTTCTTTAAACTTTTGTTAAAATCACAATTTGAATAAATAAATATTTTTTTAAAGTGCCCTATGCCTCAGCAAAAAATAAAGTGTTCCAGAGCAAGGATGTCACTCTGAGGACTAAGGTGTGCCTGTCCCAGGCCATGGTATTTTCAGTCAGTGACTGCAGCCATGGGTTCTAAGGTGTCGGAGATGATAAGGACGGCACAGGCGAGGACTGAGTTCAGATCTGTCATTCACAGGGTCACTGTGAGTTATACTCAGCTCAGTGGTACCTAACAACAACAGCATATGCATGTGAAAGTTGGATAGTAGATAAGAAAGAAGAAGAATGTATTGCTTTTGAACTCAGTCCCGTAAGGACAAATACTATATAAGATCATTATTGTAGAAATAGATAACTAGTAAAACATGTATGAAGATCTGAGGGGGGAAGCACAGAGTTGAGGGTGAGTGGAGAGTTAATCATAGGGTCGCACAACTTGATGGGTGTAGGGAGGGCTGGGTTAAGGAAATGGGAAAACAGTGTATACAGAATTTGTAAGTAAACCAGAGTGAAAGAAAAAGTTTGTTAAATAAAAAGAATTTACAACACTTATTTGTGGTGTTGGCGAACAGTATGAGACGGATCTGTCTTGTAAGAAGTTCATTGGAGGTGAAGACATCTTCTCACATGCTTTGGTCATGTTATCCGGTGTGGGGCCAGTCCTGGAGAAGGATGCCAGACGTCATGGTCACTAAATTAGAGAGGGTCAGTGAAAAAAATAAAAGGTCTTCAAAAAGACAGATTGGTGCAGTGCCCACAAGACAGGAAACACGCACAGAGATTGAAAGGATGTCGAAGGACTGGGAGATGTCTGTTCTGTTGTACACAGGGTCACTGTGAGTCAGTGGATTCAGTGGCCCTTAACAGTGGCACTCCTTCTCAGTGTGCTGTCCACCTCCTCGAGTGAAAAGAGGAAGAGGAGGCTGGCTCACCTTTACGGTGTGGAGCCTCCCTGTGCCCGGAGGAGCCCACCTCACACACAGAATGGATGTTGTCATGCGCTGAAGATCTGATCCCCGACTCCTTAGCTGTGTGCGAAGGACCCCTCCGTGGGTTTGTGTCCTCTTGTGGAATGCGTGTCTGTTGTCCGGTGTGGCTGAGTGATTATCTGCCCCACATGTTAGTAGAGTTGGCTGTGAGGTATTCCAGACTGTCCTTAGAACTAACTCGATGACACCAGCAGTAGCCTCGAGTGTGGCAGAGATGGTGAGGACGGCACAGGTTAGGACAGGGCTCAGGTCTGATGTTCGCAGATCGCTGTGAGTCATACTCTACTCAGTAGCTCCTAATGGCAGTGGCAGCAGAAGTCTTTAAGAAAAGTGCTTTCTCTCTGCAAACTGACCTCTTCTCTCTGTGTGTCCCGAAGGTGAGTGACTTCACGTGGAGCCACGATGGGACCCAAGCACTCATTTCCTACCGAGATGGCTTCGTCCTGGTCGGCTCCGTCAGTGGGCAGCGGCACTGGTCGTCCGAGATCAACTTGGAGAGTCAGATTACCTGTGGCATATGGACTCCTGATGACCAGCAGGTGATGCTCCCTGGTGGGCGTGGGATGAGACACAACACACGAGACCGCCAGGGAGGGAGGGAAGGAGGAAAGGAGGGAGGACATGGGCAGGGCCTCGGAGGGTCCCAAAGAATCCCTCAGGAAGGACGATAAACCCATATAGGAAATGGTCACAGCATTTCAGACGAGCCCGAGACTGGAGGAATAATGCATGGTAAGCACTGATTTAAAACTTCAATGATGTAAAATGTTATGCAACTGTATCTTAAATTCCACAGAAAACACCAGTTGAGAAATGGGTCATGGACATGAACTCCTCAAAGCTAAAACTCAGCTAGTCAGTAATCACGTGGCAGAGAAATATTCCACCGTACAAAAATGCAAAGATAGCCCAGTAAGGGCCGATTTTTCATGAGTTAGTGAGCAGTGATAACAATGCAGTGATTTTACTGAACCTGCTCAAGCATTTTCATCTCTTGCAGGAACAGTGTGCATTCGACCTGTTCTCTCTCCCCCCTTCTTCCCCTTTCTCTCTCTCTCTCCTTTCTCTCTTCTCTCTCTCGCCTCTCTTTCTCCCTTACTTCTACTTATGGCCTGCATCTCAACATAAAGAAAACAAAGGTCCTCACTATGTGATGTGCAAACATCACCCTTTCCTGACTTGTTCCTCCTTAACGCAGGATCTGGTAGCTTAGTAGTAAGGAACTCCACTGCTGATGCAAAGGTGCGCGGTTCAAAGCTACCAGCTGTCCCTGCTCTGCAGAAGAAAGATGGGCACTCTCTTCCCGTGTGACTCACGGCCTCTGAAAACCCATGGAAGTGCCAGCCGTGGGTCGCTTCTGACTTGACGGAACTCAGCAACAGCACCCCACAAGCTCACTGTCCCCTAAAATTCCGTCTCCTCTTTTGAGTTGTAGATTTGATCACATGTTGACCTTTCCTCTGATTTTGTTATTCACCCAGTTTTTAGATATAAAGGCCTGGATCAGGTGCTTAACCACAAATCCAGAGATTCCTGAAAGCATCCCAAGGAATAAATGAAGCTATGGGGATTTTTAATTACACATTTTTTTCAAAACATTGCATTATGGGGGAAAGAGCAAACTCAGTAACACTGAAAATGAGTCAAGAGCCCTTCTGTTTGGCCACACTAGCTTTTTTTTTTTTTAATTAATTTCAGTGAACATCTACAGAGATTTGGGATTTCCATTCATTCATTGTTGCACTTTTCTCCCCGCCCACCCCAG